ATCAAAGTTGTGTAGAGAAGATGTGGCAAACTCATCTTAATATATCTGGTCTGATGTGACCAGATATATTCAAATATATGGTATTATGTTCTTTCCTTGGGGTCATATTGCCCATGCTACGTTTTCTTGAAACATCCTAAGGTTAAAATAAAATTAAAATTAAAGTGCTGCCATTTGGCAAGACTGAATGAGATCGAGTGGGCCTTGCAGATGCACAATGTGCTCATAGGAAGGAGCAAACCAACAATGGCAGACACACTGGAACTGTTGCAGAACCACACAAGGAGAAGAAAGTTTGAATCGGTCTTTGATTTTTAAGTCTGAGTCACAGAACTTTGTGATAATTTCTGCCTAATGCACAGACTCCTGGCTTTCATTCTTGCTCTGACTAAGAAACCTCACTAGATTGGCGTCTAGGTTTTAGTGCCTCTGATAATTGTTCTGGTTTGATCTAGACAATGGAAATACACATTAAATGTTTCTGTGGGAGGTGGTGGCTATCTTGTTGACCATAGCAGTGTGTAGGATAGTGGTCTTCTGTTCAGGTCAACACAAAACTTCATGTAAGCCCAAAGTGTTCATTGTTCTTGACAATGACAATAAATAAATACTACTAAAGTGACGCTACATATGCTATTTTAAAAAGCATTTCGTAAAAAGGATAAAGATCGATACCTTTTGTTTCGATCTTAGTCCCACAGGTGGGAAACCAATTTTCCACCTGTGGGACTAATAAAGGTCATCTCATCTTATCTTTGCCATTTTTCTTGTTAACATAACCATTTTCAAATGAGTAAGAATTAAGGAGACTTCAGCATATTACCTCCGTTTATATGATGTCACTACATCTCAGCGGCTGCTGTAATCCACTAAGGAAGGGCCTCTCTTTCACTTCAGGTTTTGTTGTGACAAAGTTGAAGAGGCCTTTATATAGGTCATGCACTGCGGTCCATCCAGTGCCTTAAGTTATTTTAATGTCATATTCATAGCAGAGACATCTCCCAAGTCAACCTGATCAAGTCACTTGGACATTTAGTCTGGTTTAATTTGACTGATTCACTGTGTCTACTGAGCTGTTAAAAACCTGTATGTACAGCACAGCACTCTGTACCATGCATACATATCACAGAGGTCATACATGTATGCATAGAATATTGTGCACTGATGGCATTGCCAGCCAGGACCATGTGTATGCATTGTATCGTTGAAGCATGTGGGTGTTCAGTGTGTGTGTGTGTGTGTGTGTGTGTGTGTGTGTGTCTGTGCGTGTGGTCCTGAGGCAATGGAGAGTGGTGACAAAGAGTTGACAGAGGGCCGTAGAGATTTAGGGCGAGGTGCCAAAGAAGTCAAAGAGAAACGTGTGTGTAGTCCCCCACACACACACACACACACACACACACACACACACACACACACCAACACACACACACACACACACCTCGACGTCTGCACTTGGACGACATCTGATCTAGTCCGGGTCACTGGCAACGAGCGCTTGGTTGGGCTCAAAAGTATCACCACGGCAACCGCATCGCATAATCCCATTCCGTCCCATCCCACCCAGGAACTGCGTGCGGCGTGATTGGCCCGTTCCCCCTGGGGCACTGAGGCGGCGACTCAGGCGCTGTCTGCTTACTCGCTGTGTCAGCTATGGCTCCGAGTCTGTGTGCAGAGAGCGAGCAGAGCATTAAAGGAACGTTTGGCGCATTTTGGCAGGAGACGGTGTGAATTATGCAGACGCACCCCTACTGTGAGTGTGTCTGTATGTGCGGCGTTGCCAGTGTGGGAAGAACAAGCTACTCTAAACAGATACCGACTCTTTTGTCCGGGCTTTTCTGACTCACTTAACCTAGTCATGAAAGTTTGTCTGCCCACCTTTTTTTTTTTCTTCTGGTGTCAGAAAACTCTCATTCCTTCTTTACCTTTTCCTAGAATTTATATACAAGCATTATATAACACTAAATATACTGGACTCAAATTCCCTTGTATGTGCACTGTGTACCTGTTTTTCCAGTTAAACAGATTCTGGTTCTGAAACTACACCGCCTAATGCCAGCAGCTTCTTATAATCAAATAATGACAAAAGTCCTTAATCTTTGCTTTCATCTCTTTTTTTTCTCCTCCATCTCTTCTCTCATACAAACTTTAGCTTTTATCAGTCCCCTCATTTCTCATACACGAGACAGATTAAACTGGCTTTGAATTGCGATGTCTACCTTCACAGATCTTTCTCCCATCACACCATGCTCTCCCACCCCCACCCTCCCCACCTTCATCACTTTCTTTGTTTTCCTGAAGAATCAAACAGTCTAAATTAAAACACAGCTGACAGTTCTGCATCCAGTTTCATTGCTGCTCCTTGCTGCCTACTCCTATGATTCCTACCTCACTTACAAGCATCCCCCCCCCCCCCCCCTTCCGTCCCTCTCTCTCTACCTCCCTCTTTCACTCCAGCTGTCAGGAGGCTTCATTATTAAAGATTCATTGCAGAGTCTGGGCAGCTCTTCCAAAAGCTTTTGTCAGACAGACCGAATGCCTTAAATCTCACTGTCACTAACTGGATGTGACATAAAGACTTGCATAAATCCACATGCACACTCACAAATACACACACACAATTTCCTTCTGGTTTGTTTCACGAATTCACTACCTCGCTGCTTTTTATTGCAGATTGTCTTATCAGTGTGGATTTCTAAAGCCTTGTTAAGTGTTTTACCAGTTATTAATCAATACTGTAAATATTTGACATGCAACATGAAATGTTTGACATTGCTTTGTTTTGTCAATATTGGATTTTCTGCATTACCAATTTAAGTAGTATAAAAAACACATATATGTACACATAATGTACCTTAGTTAATGTGAAAAGGAAAAATGGTGCCTTTTGTTTACTAGTTTGTTTCCACCTCAGGTGTAATGCATGCTTTGCTATATGTGCTTCATACTAGGGTTGGGCGATTGGACGAATATATCGACTATCATCGATAGTTTTTACAAGGGCGATTTATTTATTTATTTGCCCATGAGCAAGTTTGCTAATAATGATGGAGCTAATTGCAGCAGTCAACAGAAAAAAAATTAATAGCACTGTTTTAACAGCACCCTCTTACATCTGCGAGCAGGTGCACCCTCCTCAGAGTGCGCTCAAATGCTTGTTGATGGAGCTGCAGAAGCTGGTGATAGTCTAGCATACTCAGCCGGATGGTGGACGCATGCATGCTCATGCAAGTTAGTCGTGTTTTTCTGTACTTTGCTCGCATTCTTTGTCCAAATTTTGTTCATTCTGCGCTCCAGATGGGTTGAGAGTGTTAAAAATTTTAATCGTGATGACCGCGTTTAAGCTGCGTTAACGCTGCATTAACAATCGCCCATTGGCGATTGTTGAACTGATGATTGGAAAATTTTTACATATTCCCTTCAAGTTCAGATCATGTAATGATGAAAAACCCAAGAGCTACATCTCAGAAGCTACAGGCTGCAGTTAGCATGATAAATGTGAAAGTTCAGTACAGTTACGAGGATAAAGCCAGTTCTTTCTAAAAAGAACGCGGCAGCATTGCTACGGTTTATGCAGTTTAATTTGAAGAAACCACAAGATTTCTGGAACGATGTACTTTAGACATATGACAGTGGAGATATTTGTCCATGTTTGTAAAAAAACAAGCACATCGTATCAGTCAACCTCATGCTAACTGTTCAGCACGGTCATGGAGGGATAAGGATTTGGGCTTGTTTTGCAGCCACAGGGCCAGGACACTTTGCAGTCATGGCGTCGACTGTGAACTCTTCTGTTTAGCCTCCAATTATTCAAATTGGAGGCTAAAGCTTGGCTGAAATTCAGTCTTACGTCAGGACAATGATCACAAGCACAGCAGCAAATCTACAGCAAAACGTGTGAACATGGAAAGAATAAAGGTGCTGCAGTGGCCAATCAAAGACTAGACCTGTACGTTTTTGGGCTCAGCCATTTAGCGACTGAAATAATGATGTTCTCAGCTTCATATACTGAGAATTTTCTCACCTAATAACTTGTAGCAGAGTCAATTTGCATGACAGGGCAAATTGCAAGTACAATAAACTCACAACATTAGTTTTTTTTAAATTAATTTTTAAGTTTCATGTAGATTTATTTCATAGATGTGCACAATTTACTTTTAATTAAATCCACACTTTAAATAGATTTTTTTTCTGTAACTTATTTATAAAGTTTGACTTTAAGAAATGGGTATCAGAAGAATTTGGATTTCTTATGCTAGAACATACAGACAGTTTGGCTTGACAACAGTGCAAACAGTTTGCTTGTTTGCACTGTTGTTAAGCCGTTATCCATTAATGACTTAGGAGCACAGTAGCCTTACGTGCAAAGATAAATGCAATTAGCTGGGAACATCTTACTCCAGCAATGATTTCAAAAGCTGTTTTCATCAGCTACAGATCAAAATGCCTCTGGACCTTCAATCAGTCAGAGCAAAGAAATGTGCCATGTAGGGCTGAGGTGGCAATGTAAAAAGCCTACAGTCTGGTCATTATATCAAACACGCCTCATTTTAAATAAACAGTGGTGATTGGCTTGGCAAAGGCTTGTGGAAATCTGTTTTAATGGGTCGGGGGCCAGATGCATTCTGCCAAATGAAGCATAAGCTTGGATTCATCCATTTCCCAAGCTATCGGAAAGTATTTACTCCCACTGAAAATTGCATTAGAATATGTCAGCCTAAGAAATTTTCTAGTGGAGATCAAAAATTACATGCACACAGATGGTCGGAGGGGAAGACTTTAGCACATATGATATGAAGGAGTCATTTTAATTTTAACCGTTGAGGTTCTAAAATAAGATGTTCATCTTCAAAAGGATCCAGAGGATATATTAACTGTATATTTTTGATCATAGTGTTTTTCCTGGGTTAAATCAGAAAGTGGAACAGAAAAACAGTAGTGTTTGTCATATATTACAGTTAACCTGCTATTCTATGCTTATTTCTCTTTTTGCTTTTGCACAGAAAAGCCCAGGAACAGCAGAAAAAGGTGGTAGTAGCAGGATGCGTTCCCCAGGCCCAGCCGAGGATGGACTACCTCAAAGGTCTCAGCATCATTGGGGTACGTGCACTTTCTGTGAACATCTGTGTATTTTGACTCTGCTGTATTAAAGGTGCGTCTCTTTATCTTCCTTTGTGTCCGATGACGAGTACAGACGGACACGCTTTTCGAGACTGATCGGGATGTCATTCACCGGGCAGCTAACCTTGCTCTGTCTTGGGCTCATTCTCTTCAGGCAGAACATTTCCCAGTCACAAAGGTTCTGCATGAGAAGGAAGATCGGGTACATTAACTCCTGTACTATGGGGAGGTGTTATGGGTGAACAGAGACGGAGCTAGGAAAGGACACGTCAGTGATTCCTCCGCATAGACTGCTTCCTTTAAAGGTGGCATGGGGCAGTCTAGCCTCTAGTTACTTTTGCTACTAGTATTAATATATTTTAGAGAGTACAAGCGGCAAACAGACAAATATGACAATAAATACATTTCAACTTGTTACTTGTTTAAACTGAGCTATTCTGCTTTGGTTACCAGCCACTGGTGAGTGATTGGAGTGCATAACAAAGAGATACAGAGCAGATGAATTATTCTGTTTCACCTTTGCTGTCACAGAAAGGAACTAATGGATATGTCAAGCCTGTTGTTGGTTAATAGCTAAATGAGTGTTCCTCATTGCATAATTGATTCAGTTCGTTGTTTGTTTGCTTTTCAGCACACTGCCACAGTGCAGCCTGGACAAAATCATCCTAACACTTCTATGCCTAACACATATACACAATGGCCACTTCATTAGTTACACCTGTTCAGCTTCTTGTTAATGCAGACAACTAATTACCCGGTAACATGGCAACTATTGAGCGCATTGAGGCATGTAGACGTCAAGACACAGTGCTGAAGTTTAACCTGAAAGGTGCTTCACGTGACCTTGAATGTGACCTGGTTGAGAGTGCCAGTCGAGATGGTCTGAATATTTCAGAAACGTCTTATTTACTGGGATTTTCCCACACAACCGTCTCTAGGGGTTTACAGAGAATAATCCAAAAGCAGGAGAAAAAGAGTGAGTGGCAGCTGGTAGGAAGGCAACGGTGAATCAAAAAACCCGAGGTATGCAGAAGAACGTCTCTGAATGCATAACATGTCTAACCTTGAAGCAGATGGGCAGTGCCATGAGAGCTCCTGTCAGCTAAGAAAAGAAAAGTGATGCTACGATTTGCACACGCTTACCAAACTTCATATGTTAGTGTCAGAAGTTGGAGTAAAGAACATGTAAACATGGATCAGTGCATTGTAGTAACAGTTCAGGCTCCATACAATTTACTTCAGTACCGACTGAGTATCATTTAAATAGCACAACCTACCTGAGTATTGTTGCTGACCATAACCCTTTATGAACAAAGGGTACCGCTGTTCTGTTAGCTGCTTCCAGCAGGATAACACACCATGTCACAAAGCTTAATTCATATCAAATTGATTTCTTGAAGATGTCTGCACGCCACAGTCACCAGATCTCAATCCAGAAGAGCACCTTTGGGATGTGGTGGAATATGAGATTTGCATCATAGATGTGCAGCTGACAAGTCTGCAGCATTTGTGTGATGTTATCATGTTTCCAGCACCTTGCTGAATTGGCGCCATAAAAAAGTTTTAAAGACTAGAAGTCTCTAATCTGGCAGGGTATTTTTAAAAATGCAATTCAACCAGGATATGCCTTCTAAATCTCCGTACAAAGCTGTGCTCTTATTTCTATAATTGGATATTTTGTTTTTTTTATGGAAAGTAAAACAAGCTGCTGAAAATGGGAACAAATCAAACAGTATTGTGTTGATTACTCCCACTACCTTAAAATGAATGGATTGAAGACGGCTCAAGTGCTAAGTTAGATACTTTAACAATAAATAATGTTATTCAGTTTGAGTTAAAAATGCCACAATGTAACTTAATACGATTCAGATATAGTGACACGCATGTATAATATGATTCTATTCAGATAAACAGGCTTGTGTTTATAATAGGCTTCAGGGTGAAGCACAAACAGCGTATAACTGCCAGAGCTTCAGTGACAAGCATTTTTAACTTAAAGACACACGCATGCATGAACAGGCACACTGTGTAACAAACCCAGACATAAATATATGAGAATGCAGAGTCCCTCTGTATTCCCACAGTGGAACATGTAATGATAGTGGCAGTTGGTGGGTTATGCAAATTGGATGCAAATACAAGTTCAGAATTTGTGTATAGTGATTGCACCAACGGCCAGATAAGGAGTGTAGTTAAAAATAAATAGGCGGGCCTTCCTGTTGGATTCATTTTATGTGACCTGTGTGCGTATTGCCAGCTTTTCTGAGTGGTGTTTTATTGCTGTTGTGCTGTTTTGTTTGAGGTTGCTGTTTAATGACTGCAAATGTATTGTGTGAGCTTCATAGACAGTCACGCAAGACTGCAGTGTTTCGCTTTTCTTAACTAGACTTGTCGCATCCTGTAACTGCCATGCATCGCACACCTACGCACACCTACGCACACCTACGCACACCTACGCAGCGCTGGTTAACTAATCAGAGGATCGGAATGGGCATGCAAAGCTGTGAGCAGGAAATGTCACACCTCAGTATTTATGGTCCTGTTTTTTAAAAATATACAATTTTAATTACTTTATCGAAGGTTAATCCAAATACTATGGATGTCGCATTAGTGCTTGTCATTAAGTTATGGTAATAGAACGACAAACCTTAAAATAAAGCTTAAGCACAGGCAGAAATGTGTGTCGTCCAGTAGACCTGTGACTGCCTTTTACATGCAACAAATCTGCTGAATATATCAGTATTTATCCTTTTCTTTCTATGGGTACAATGGAGGATTTAAAAACAGCCAAAGTTGAAAAGTGCGATCTAAATTAATAGCTGAAATGCACACCTGAGTTTTACTCTATGTAGGGACGCCTGCTGCTGCTCTGAATGGGCCCAGATTGCTTGACCATTACACTGAAAAAGGTTTTACTCAGGCATGTGGCATGCAAGTAACTGCTTCCTGCAAAGCACAGTGTGAATCTGAGTGTGTGTGTTTGAAAGGAGGCTTATTTTAAGTGATGGGCCTGAAGGCATTGAGAGCCAGTGCCAAGGGCCAGTGTAGAGTGAAAGTGAAGAGAATTCGAGGTGTGAGGGATGCTGGGAAGAGCGAAAGGAAAATAACAGCAGAAAAATGACCAGTTTTTTCCCCCCCTGTCACTACTTTAGTATTCTGTTTCTTTCTTTCTTTCACTCGTTCTGCTTCCTTTCCTCTTCATGTAATATCGGTTGGTAGATAAGTAAAGTTTGAACTCCTCGTTTAATATTCTGGCTCTTTTAGTATCCAGATTACCCTACTTAAAGTCTGCCTGTTATTAAACTGTGGCCTGTGGGGGCCTTGTTTATTCTCTTTATTAGTGCGGTGGTTCATTATAGTAGCCGTTAGCAGAACTGCAGGATTTGTTTTCTATGTGAGACAATGAGGGGAAAAACACAGCTATGGACTTGGGTAATGCTTTATTGTTACCTATGTGGTCGGATCTATCACAGAACGTGTTTGTCAGTACATGCACAACAAACACTCATTGGCATTTAGGAAATCCATATTCCTTAATCCTGCCTGGTGATTGTAGCTTTTTGCGCTTGTTTGTCTCTGCTCTTATTGCATATGGCCTTTGTGTATATTTGCATATCCACCTTGTTTAAATGTGGATCAGAGTATCAGTGTGTCTGTGGGTCGTCAATATCAGGGTTCTGTTTGACTGTGAGGACTTGGGTTTTCAGGATCAATAAAGTTTTCTCTTGTTTCTTTGTGTTACAGGTCCAGCAGATTGATCGAGTGGTGGAAGTAGTGGACGAGGCTGTTAAAGGTATTTTACCACAGAAAGGCACACATACACGCATTCTTGTTTTACGGTCTTTGCGTGGTCTTTAACGTAATGCTAACCACCGCAATTAAACTCAAAACTAAGGTCCTCTAACACAAATCCATATCCCGACTACAACACAAAACAAATTTGCACTTATGCATGGAAGGAATAAGATCCAAGGATGTATTATTTTATCCAACCATCCATCCATCCATTCGCTTCCGCTCATCCTTTGGCAGGGTCACGGGGGGCACTGGAGCCTATCCCAGCTGTCTTAGGGCGAGAGGCGGGGTGCACCCTGGACAGGTCGCCAGTCTGTCATAGGGCTAACACATATACACACACAACCGTTCGCACTCACATTCACTCCCGCATTCATACCTATGGGCAATTTAGACTTTCCAACTAACCTATCCCCACTAAGTGCATGTCTTGGGACTGTGGGAGGAAGCTGGAGGACCCGGGGAGAACCCACGCAAACACGGGGAGAACATGCAAACTCCACACAGAAAGGCCTAATGGTGGAATTGAACTCAGGACCTTCTTGCTCATGCTAACCACCGCGTGTATTATTTTAGTCTCTCCACTTTTACTACCTTACTACAGTCTACTTGACCAGTAAGAATCAGAGTGTATCACACTGCATCAGAAGAGCACATAATCAAATGCTGATGACTTAATATTATACTAACACTGTTAAAAAAATCAAAAATTATTAGCTATAATAGTGTTAAGGTTGTTAAAAAATGTAGTATTTTCCAAAGTGAATGGAAAGAGCATGCTTTTTACGTTGTCATGGTAAACTAAAAAGAACAAAAAACAACAACATTTGACTAAATAATTGTTTTAAATGTGTATTTTAAAGCAAAAGTCTTCAGCTTTTGTTGAAACCGATCTAACTGTCTGAGCTGCTTCTTAAATGATCCTCTCTGTCTGAGCAGCTCACTGACAGACACACATGGCAGTTATAGGTCATCCGTTTAAACTGTTAGCGAACCACCACACTTAGCTGTTTAATGACGGTCAGAGAGAGTTTACAGTGTGAGTGAGTCTAGTCAAGCTGTCATACACCCCCAGCTGTTCTCTAATAAAGAACAGATTGAGTTTACACTGTGCGTGTGTGTGTGTGTGTGTGTGTGCGCGCGTCTGAGTGACTACTTTGCACTGCAGGGTTCACTCTAATGAAGGACAGCTGAACTAAGGCTTAATTTTACAATGTGTCATCAAGCCTAAACTGTGAGCCTACACACAAGCTCACAGTCACACATCTACTCTGTGACTTTTATTCCCCCTTTCTTCTCTGTGATTTGCTCATTCTGTCTTTTTTCTCCCCATTTCTTTCTCCCACCCTTCCTACATCTTTTGATCTCTTCCCTTCCTCTCTTTCGCCTCTCACCCCCCGTTTCTTTCCCTCCCCTTTTCCTCCCACCATCAGCCCCTCCATAGAAACTAATTTCCCCAGTATCATTACTGTTCTTTATGACCTCGTATAAACTGAGAGCTGTTATTTCGTCTCAGAGGCCTTGGCATAAACCTTAAAGCTGGGGGATTTGCCTATCGTAATGGCTACTAAAATACTTACTTCAATGAACTGCTAATAGATACAGGTCTTTGCTGTGCCAAAATTGCTTGCAGGTCCTGTTTTCCACATGACAAGAGTACTCGTATGCTTTTGGGGACTCGCTTCTTAGCGTGTGTGAGTTTTTCATTTAGTTCCAGGCTTTAAATGAATTAAACATCCTTGATGTCATGAGGATACATCATAGTTGTAAAGCTGCTTTTTTATCATAGTGCATCTGTGCAATAAAGACTTCAAGTTACTACCTGTAGTAAATGATAGCACGTGTTTTTATCCCGTCGTGTTATCTCAGCTTGACTCCCTGGCTTAGTCGGTGCATGCTCACTTATACAGTGTTATTTATTTGTTGGTGGTGGTGTTACTGTGGTTACGAGCTTGATTATCCAGATCAATTTGTTTTAGTTGTGCCAGAAGTTAATTTCTTGTTAACAACAACCCGTGCTTTGACTCCGTCTTGTATTCCGAGCCCACTGGCAGTTCCATTTACGGAAAAACAAAAAAAAGACACATTAATGACACCCGTGGATACACATTTTTACAAGGGCAGCTTTTATGATTCTCGGCAATGCTCAACAGACAAATACACACCACAAGAACAAATGAGTAAAAGAGTAAAATATTTTTAATCGAGAGGAATGTATGGAAAAACCCACAAAAAGATACTAATAATCTGATCTTGGGACTTTTTTATTATTAAGACTCCTAATATTCTTATTCTTTCACTGAGAAATGCCCTTGGATAGTACTTTTTCACCTGATATTCATTCATCGTTAAGGAAACAGTTTATAGTTGGTGTGTGAATGCCACACAAAGACAGGGAGTAGGAAAAGCATAGTTAGGATAATGTATGTGTGCAGCTACAAATCAGAGAATATAACCTTGTGATCCTTATTTCACCAGTATTAATAACCTGTTTATCAATGCAGAGGGAAAAACTGAGCAGAAGTGTGGTTGAACAGATGCAGACAGATGATAGTAAGTGAAGTAAATGAAGAGCAAGTACCGAAAGAAAAACTAGGACTTTTACTTATGTTTTAAGTCATCTGAAGATGTTCTGAGTATCGTCTCCGCTCTGAGAGAGCCCCTCTAGATGTGACCAAAAAATCTTCCTGGTAAAGCATCAAAACCTGGATGACGTTTAAGGGAAGCACTCTTCGGAATTGTAATGCTTATGCATTTGATGCGTGTGTGAGAAAATTTCCCATCAAAACTGGTTGGTGTGAGATTTGGTCAGGACATAAACAGCTTTTTCAAAGATGGTCTTACATATTTAATAAAGAGTTAGGTTGAAAGGATAAATGGAAAAACAGGAAACCCTCCTGTCCTTCTCATCTGCCACCTCTGTCCCCTCTTTTCAATACATTCCCATCAGCTCTCCCCCATTCCTGCCTGCTACTTTACAATCAACCTAGAAAGCTCAACAAGACGCTCTGCTTATAAGACATCAGACACAGGTCAACAGGTCATCCTTTTAGCGTTCTACCTCTCCCTCCAAACCATCCATCTGGCTATCCTACACATCTTTCATCATCATCCAAGCATCTACAAATCTTAGCTTCACATCCATCTATCATTCCCTTTCCTTCCTTCTCTTTTCTGGTGTGTTTTAGTGGGACGTTATGAGTGGATAGGACATTTCTAGCAGTTTAGATTTAAAGGAAAGAAAAGAACAGATTGAGGAAAGTTGAGAAGGAAAAAGAGGAGGGCAGTCAGTCACAAGAAAATGTGGTATTAGTAGACGGGAGTGTGTGTGTCTATGACTATGCAGGGTTGCCCATCACAGCAGTTGGCCTCTGTAAACTCTGTAATTGAGATGACAAATAGTGAAGCGTTCTTTGGTTTTCTTCAGCAGGTCATATTAGCTATTTTATCTCTTGCTTCCCATTCATGGTCCCCTAGGCCCTGAAATTGAATTTGGCTTTGGGTACGTTCCTGGAGTGACTCCATGCTGGCAGTGAGATTATTTCTAGAGTCTTCTGCGGTAGTCACAGTGACAGGGGTCCTGTGCAGTATTAGAGAGCAAAGGAGTATGTGGGGAATGACAATTTCCAGTTTTATTAGAATGGACAAGCTCATTATTTGGGGGAAAAAAACATCTGGAAATCCAGCACCATACTGGTAATTGCTTTTTCCTGACAAGTCTGTGTTTGCAATTATGTTTAGTAAGTATATTTTCCCACCGCGCAGAAATAAATGTTCAATATGAAAGTAGAAAAAGAGGGAATTCTAAAAACAGATTTTACCACAAACCTGCACCGAAATTACTCTTGTGACTTTTTGTAGCCATTAACATTTCACATATTCCAAATGTTTCAGGGCATTATTAGCACATGCATGATTTTTCAATCCTTGTTTCATGACTGAGGGTGGATGCACAGATCCAGGGGAGGAAAAAAGAAATGTGGGGCCAAATGTGGTCCAAATCCCAGCTGTTTTCCACAAGGGACATTTTTGTATTTCCTTGCTTGTACTGGGATATTAAGACCAGTCATGCATCAGCGATTGGCTCTTTGTCCTCCTCTGGGGCAGATTGTCATTTTTATCTACCAATTGATAACCATGCTTCCTGCTCTGAACCCACCCTCCCAAGAGACTCTTGTATTGCGGATGAAAACAGGAAGACAATTCCATCCCTCAGCGCCTCCATCTCACACACAGCTAGCTAGCAGCCTATTAAACAGTTAGAGAAGAGAGAGTACTGCGTCCCATTTCCACACACCAAAGGCTAGACGTCACTAGCTGTTAGGCTCAGCTGTGGATTTTCATTTGCCTTGGTTGACACTATGATAGCCAAATATAAATAACTTCTGTTAGTTCTCACTGTGAGTAAAGTAGCCCTCTTTATGTAGAGGAATCCCCTTTTTTATTTCTAATATTATCAGTTTTTGGTTTTTTCAATTTTTTTATGTGACTTTATTCTTGGTCAGTCTATTAGTTTACCTCCTTTTTTCTTTTGAATGTTGACAAACAGTGTGGCTTTCTGTGTCTTTGTTCCCTCCTTTTTTACTTTTCCTGCCTTTGTAATTAATTGTATTCAGCTGGGCCTTATTACCCTCTTCCTACTGTGTTTCCATTGTGTTTGTTAACCCCTAGTCTGTGTGAGGTTGTTAGGCATAGGATGGGTCTGTTCTTTTTGGTTGTACTTTTTGTTGGATACCAACTTTTATAGTGTGCATGGGCACACGCTGAGGACCCCTCCCAACCCCAAAACAGTGTTAATGAGAGCCAGAGGCCCCAAAGTCCATTTCTGAGAAGGAAAAACCCTGTTTGCATGTGCTTCGATCTGCTATTATGTCTTTGCTCATTGTCGTGTTCGTACTAAATTTATCCACAATAGATGAGAGCGATTTATTTGAGGTCGATTTTGCACAATGGGAAGTTTGATTTCTGTTTGGCATTTTGCTTGTGGGTGAAATGCAAATATAATCTCATTGTTTGCATTGTAAGTTTGATGAGAGACATACTCACGAGAGAGCAAGTGCTCTGACAACCAATACGGGCAAAATGTTTCTTACGTCTGTTATATTGTATTTATTTTTCTCTTTAGCAGTGCAATTCAGATTTGGCATTTAAAATACAGCAACAAAAATACTTCAGGGTGCCTTTTTAAACATGTTTGCATCCATCCGCACATGGACAGTAGTGTGATAGTCAGTCAGCGTTTTAGTAGGATCATTTGATTATGTGAGACGATTTGTTTTTGTTGTTTTTCAGGCCACTCGGTTCGTCTGTTGGGTCAGAAGAAAGATGGAGGCCGAAGACTTGGAGGAGCTCGACTGGACCTCCCCAAGATCAGGAAGAACCCTCTCATTGAAATCATCTCCATTAACACCGGGTAGGACACGGAGACACTAACAGAAAACACAGCCTAAAGTGTTTATGTTACAACTGAATACAGTTTTATTGCCTTCCCAGTTTGCTGCATGTGCATGTCGGTTTGCTCTCTCTTTGTGGTTGCTCAGCTACTTGAGCAGCGCATCTCTATGCCTAATTAATAAGGGTATTTTAAATCGCTTCACAAGGTGTGCATGCGTGTGTGAAATCTGAGTATGTTCATGAACATATATTGGTATTTATCAAGTGGAAATGTAATAGGAGTAAAGTAAAGTAAAATTTTATTTATATAGCACCTTTCAAGATAAAATCACAAAGTGCTTTACAGAGGCAGAAAACGGACATTAAAATCTAAAACAAAATCAACCAAAAGCGCGTTTAAACAGATACGGTAGGTTTTTAACTGCTTTTTAAAAGACATGACTGAGTCTACAGATCTCAAACTCAAAGGGAGTGAGTTCCAGAGTCTGGGAGCCACTGATACAAACGCTCTGTCACCTTTTGTTTTTAACCTTGTATGCGGGACAACCAGCAACCCCTGGTCACAAGATCTCAGGGACCTGCTGGGGTGATAAGAAAGAAGAAGATCACTTAAGTAAGTTGGAGCTACACTGTGCAGGGCCCTATAAGTCATGATTATGATCTTAAATTGGACCCTGAACTTGACAGGGAGCCAATGCAGCTGAATCAGCAGGGGAGTGGCGTGCCTAACATGCCTCTCAGTTTTTTCTCAGTGTACTATTACAAAAGCATAATTTAAAAAAACGCATTTTCTCCATCATCGCTGTGATGATCTGCAGGATCTTGCCTTTTAAGTCACTCCTAGTTAATTTAAAAATAGTTTTTCTACATTACATCTAAATTTTGTCAATTTATATACATTTGATAATTAAGTCTTAAATACACAGACTCTGAGACCTACATCCTCTTGCACAGCTGGACTTTATGGGTGAATTTTATGTTGTTTACAGATATGTGTCCTCTAACTCATGCACTATATTCTCAGTAGACTAGTTAAAAAGGGTTATGACGGACTAATTCCTAGTGCTGGACCTCCACTGAGGATAATCCATCAATCATCCGAATGCATGTCTTCCGGGTCTATATATTAATGGCTTGACTTCCAGACCAAGTACTCTTGTACCAAAGCAATAATCCTCTTTATGAGTATAGCATTCTAGGCTTAAATGCACAGTATTTGTTCTTGTACAGATGTGTTCAGGCCCTCCTGCTTTTTAGCTAGCTGTCGAGTAAACAAGCTTAAGCTGTTCCTAAGCACCATTAAGAAGTTGTAGACTTCACATAATCAGCAGTGCATCGTCTCTTTCTTTGAACCTCTTGTGTTTACATTTATTACAGTCAGTGAGGGAGTTGAAGATTTTACTTGAATTACTAGTTTTCTCCTTGAATCTGTTGGACTACTTGCAGCAGCATTCTTATGCTTATTTTCGCACTTAACGTGATAAGATCATGCTTATCATGCTGCTGCTTAACACTGTATTTGTTTTGTCAGCAAAGGTCTCCCTATATAGTGTCTGCAGTCATTGAAGTCATTATATGTAACATCAGTTTTGGTGTATAACCACTAGCATTGCTGTTGGTGGTAGTAAAAATATATAGCCTGTTGTATTCCCTCACTTGTGTGCTTGTACTTCTAGAGCGAAGAGAGTATCATCCTTTACCTCAAAGATGTGTTCAAAGTGATGTTATTATTACACAACATACATGATGATAATGGATGGATACTCCAAGGTTAACTGAGAAGTTGTGGGAGTCTTTCCTGAAGAGCGGGTTGTGTTTCAGATGTTCATAATCTGCAGAGCTCAGTTGCAGAGTAAAGCTTCTTAGACCACATTTGAGCTGATCCAAGTAGAAAATCTGTACATTTAACTGGTTCGGCCACTGTTTTTCATCTAAATTGACGTTTCTGATCGGTGTCAAATTTAGCATGTTCAAAGTGGCAGGATTGTGATTTTTGTTTCAATTAAATAAATCGTCTTTTGCAACATCTGCCATCAAGTGTGCACATCAGAGACAGCACTTTTCTGTAATGTTCTAAGTGTTGCTTACAATTGGTCACCATAGTGCAGCTGGTTTATTCCTGGTTGGTCTGAAAGACACAATATTTGAAGCTGCACGGTTTATTTTTCTTCTTTTTTCAGCACTTTCCTTGCTCTTATATTTTAACATATGTATATAATTTTCAGTAAATAAACCTTAGGCTCTGTCACTTCTTTAGTCACTTCAAAACTTCAGCCTCTTTTTAAAATATCTGTAACTCTTGCTTTGTGTACCTTTGCACTAACGCTTTTGACTGTTTCTGCTGTGTTTGCTTAAGCGGGTCTTTAAACCTGGAGATACAGTGGTGTAAAAAAGTGTTTGCCCCCTTCCCGATTTCCTGTTTTGTTTTTTTTTGTCACACTTAAATGTTTCAGATCATCAAAGAAAAAAGGGAGAATAAATTCAAACCTACATGGCCCTGTGTGAAGAAGTGATCGTTGGAATATGAACAAATGTGTGTGAAGGTTAGATAGAAAGCACTTGCATAGGAAAAGCATAGAAAAAAGCCATGTATGAATTGGTGAATGAGACAAGTTATATAAAGTGCTTTGAGTGCCCAGAGTAGAAAAGCGTAATGCAAGAACTGGTCCATTTACCATTTAAATAGGACCTGCCTGACAAAGTTGAGTAGACCTAAAGATCCTCAAAAGTCAGACGACATGCCGTGATCCAAAGAAATTCAGGAACAAATGAGAAACAAAGTAATTGAGATCTTTCAGTGTGGAAAAGGTTATAAAGCAATTTCTAAAGCTTTGGGACTCGAGCGAACCACAGTGAGAGTCATTATCCACAAATGGCAACAACATGGAACAGTGGTGAAGTTTCCCAGATGTGACCAGCTGATCAGAACTGCTGAAGCACAACAGTTCTGATCAGCAAGACAGTGATCCAAAACCCACCAGCAAGTCCGCCTCTGAACGGCTTAAGAAAATCAAAATCAAGACTTTGCAGTGGCCTAGTCAAAGTCCTGACCTGACATATCCCATATGGAAAAGATACATAAATCTTATAAAGTTTGCATCTGTCTTGTGTGAAACTTGGATGAAAAGCATATAAGTGTGAAAACAGATATAAGATCCCTTGAAAAATTATATAATGAAACTTGTATGTTTTGGATACTTACTAAAACAATGTATGAAAGTAATGCTAAAGTGGCCACTTTCATGAGTAAATCATGTAAGCCTTATATGATTTACTCATGAAAGTGGCCACTTTCATGAGTAATCACATATAAGTTTTTACTATTTCTTTTCCGTATGGGATGGTATGAGGTATGACTTTAAAAAGGCAGTTCATGCTTTACAACCCTGTAATGTGGCTGATTTACAACAATTCTGCAAAGATAAGTGTGCAAATATTCCTCCACAGCACCATAAAAGACTCACTGGCAGTTATTGCAAAAGCTTGATTGCCATTGTTGCTGCTAAGGTTGGCCCAGCCTTTTATTAGGTTTAGGGGGCAGTTGCTTTTTCACAAACTTTTTCCCCCCTTAATAATAAACACCTTTATTTAGAAACTGCATCTTGTATTTACTTCTGTTATCTTCGTCTAATATTTAAATTTTTTTTGATGATCTGAAACATTTACTGTAAGCGTGACAAACACATGAAAAAATAGAAAGGGGGGCAAAGACTTTTCACACCACTGTATATGAATTGTGTTTGTGGCTTTGTGTTGCAGTATGAGTGTGCAGATGTCAGTCTCTTGGAGCCTCCTGCCAGCAGGAGGTCTGTGTCTGATCCAGATGATCTCGCTGTTGTTTTTCAAAGGGTTGGGCTGGCAACAAATAAATCCTCTTGTTTTTAACCAAAACGGCTTCAGTAGAATAGTGGATTATTCAAATATTTGATTGGGTGAATCGACCAAATCTCTTCCAGATAACACTTATGTTACTGAAAATCCAAGCTTAATATGCGCTTTTGTATGAGCTGGTCAGCCACTGCTGTCAGTAATTTGACATGGTCCTCTTAAGGTTAAAGTGTGTGTGTGTGTGTGTGTGTGTGTGTGTGTGTGTGTGTGTGTGTGTGTTTGTGTGTGTGTGTGTGTGTGTGTGTGTTTGGGGGTGTA